TGATTGGCAGCACATTGCACTTTGATGCGCGCATTCCGCACAACTTTGGTCTGAAGGTGCTACCATTGCTGGACAGGTTGGAGGTGATCAAAACCAAGTGTCGAGTGTTAGATGAATGACTGAAGATGGATGTAGCCTATTTCCTTATGAAGGCTAGCGACTTCTACGTCATCCATCTTGATGAGCACTATGGAAAACTCAAGAATCTGGTTGAGGTCCGTATGTCGAACTTTTCAAACAATTGAATCGTCAATACCTCAACAGCTACTGTTTTCTGAATAATTCCGTCAGCCCTTGATCGGGACTTGGGGAGGATTGAACAGGTTGCGCACCACCCGTCGATCACTCACGCTTCAACACATTTCGTTTATACTGTGGAGGTGATGGACACCTTCTTTGAGGGAGGGAGAGTCGGAGTGTATGAAGGCGCTGGACAACTGCATGATACTCTGGCTCCGTTCTCGTCGCACAAACCGGGCAGGCACCTGTGGGTTCTCTTATTCCACTTAAATCTATTTAAGTAGCTATAATTGCTTATCTGCGCGCCCCTCGTCCTTCCTGCTTGGTAGAGCACAAGGTTGACAAATAGCACCTCCTGATGCGCCTTCAACAGGGTATATGTTTGGCAAGGTCGCCTACTTCTCTTACGTGGCGTGCAGATCGGCTGATTACTGCTGTGCCTCACCCAGTTCCTCCCAGGGCTGCCTTCTTCTCTGTAAAGTGGCTCTCGGTAAAACTCACGACTGTTTCTCTGGCAGCACCTCTCGATGCCTCAGGCAAATTGTTGGTGGCAGAGTTAAATCTGTGCCCTATTGAAGCTGTTATTTTGCTCGAAGAGTGTGTAAGCCTTCTTGCATATGTATTGCTCCTTGGCAAGCGTGCCTACTTGAATATTATGTGACATGTTTTGAGTTCAACGTTTGCAGTCGCTTTTTAATTTGCTTGTCAAATTACGTACACTAATGAAATTAAAACTTACAATGGTATTGTTATTGTGATTTTACTAAAAACCATTTGGTCCAAATTGGACGACATGAATTAGCTTGAAGGGAGTTCCTCTTTGATCGGTTCAACGTCAGGTACTGGTCTCCCGCAAATGAGTCAGGCGCAGGGATTGTTACACAGAAACCAGTACTTTTTCCCCAGACAATTTCTCACCGAGATTATGGAATTGCCGCAATGTGTCGTATCTGTATGTAAAATGGAACGGGCCACTTTATCAAATCGATTTGCTTTCATCAGTTTGAGTTGTGAGCGCAACTGCACTGAACGTGGCAACGTGCTTCGTGGAGAAAATGATCGGCGTTGTCGACCCCATTGATTAGCCAGTGACGTCTGCAGAGATGAGAAGCAACCTTCTGTGCATTGAGGACATTATTATTATCCGACACCACTCAAATCAACATTAACTTTAATTTCCGGAGATCGCGATGAACATGAACAAGATTTTATTCCCCCATGTTCGCATTGTTAATACCATTAATAGTAAAATTGCCGCATTCAGTCAACGTTGTCTTCACAATTAGTTGTAGCGCATTCAAACTTGTTCAAATACATTGGAAAGGTGAATTCCCATGTGTCAGTATTGTAGTTTATTCGGGTCGCTACCATGAACGAGAATTGCGGTTTCTCGCAATTACGAGCATGCAGCAATGAGTGTAGTTATCTAACTTGTCGGTTCATTAAAGAAGTCCGTACCTGTCGTAACTTGTAGGGTGGATCAAGTGTCCCTGAATGTGCGCCATTTGCCACTCTCCCATCCCCAAGCCTCTAATTACAAAATGTGATTTAAGTGTGCTGGCTGTGATTCGGGCTTGTGCATTCCCCAAACAATCTGCAGACGTTAAACTTGAGTTCTTTGGCCACCTGACTGCTAGTTTTCTGTTTGTCTGTGTGGAATTTCCAAGTCAAAGTCAGCAAATATGGCAAACCCGGTCATCCATGAGGATTGTTTCGCAGCTTAGTTCATTGTTCTGTCATTATCGTGAGCTTAAACCAGTTAGGATGTTTCCACTGTGATTCATGGGATCTTATGGGCTGCGGTAAAGGCTCTTTAACGTACTAGCAATATGGTGGATCTTAATGATGCCCAGTTTTTAAGTATTTAAATGAATTATGGAAGACGGTGCAAAACGATGTAATCTGACTTTACTTGATCATGGCTTGCATTTACTTGGTAAAATTGCGGCTGCCGTTACTGTACTGACCATAGCAGTCGAATCTCCTCTCAACTTCTCTGTCGTTAGTGCTAGTGAATTGATTTCCCTAACCAATCAGTTCAAGCGCTCAGACGAATGAAGAGAGAAGCTCAGTTGAAGGGCTCCAACTGTCACACTTTGATTTCATGCGCCTATTTCACAAATTCGAAATGGTATCTCTTCCACTTGACACCAGCTCTAGTGAAGAAGGCAGTGCGTGACATGAGGCCGGGCAAAGGTGCTGTTTGGGAGTTAGCAATGGTGGGTGGATGGAAGCACACCCCTAATTAGCAAAAGATGTGAGGCCTCTCCACTGGCTATAAGTGGAACAAGTGCATTAATTTGAAGGAGGCGGTGACTTGCAATGCGGCGGTGGTGCAGACAACCATTCTAACTGGTAGAGATAAAAGAGATGGGGAAGTGGG